GAGCAGGGAGCCCGATGCGGGGCTCGATCCCGGGACCCTGGGATCATGACCTGAGCCGAAGGCAGACGCTTAATGACTGAGCCACCCAGGCGCCCGGTGCTACCTGATTTTTAATATCAATGCAAGAATGAGTCAGTAAAGAAAGTCTTTTCAGCAGTGTTCGAACAATTCAACAGCCATGTATAAAAAATTAATTTGGAGCCATGATAGCACAATATAAACAAATTAACCCAAACTAGATCACAGACCTAAATATAAAACAGCAAAGTAGAAAATTTCTGGAAAAAAAATATAGGAAATCTCTGTGACCTTGGGTTAGGCAAAGTCTCCTCAGACACAACACTAAAAAGCACAGCCCACCAAGTGACAAATTAGTAAATAGGACTTCATCAAAATTCAAACCTCCTGCTCTTTGAAAGACTCTATGAAGAGCAAAAGGTCAAGCCGCAGACTGGACGAAAATAGATGCAAAGCAATACATCTGGTAAAGAACTTATATTCACCATATATAAAGAACTATCACAATTCAATAATAAAAGAAACAACCCCACCCCCAAAACAAAACAAAGGAAACAACCCAATTTAAAAAAAATGGGCAGAAGATTTGAACAGACACTTCACCAAAGAGGTATACAGGGCAAATAAGCACATGAAAGATGCTCAATGTCACTGCTCATTAGGAAAATGTGAAGTCAAACCACCACATCCTATTAGAAAGACTAAGGTTTTATTCATAATAGTCCCAAACTAGAAACCACTCAAATGTTCATCAACAAGTTAATGGTTTTCAAAATGTGTTCTATTGATACAGGAATAATACTCAGCAGTAAAAAAAAAAGGGGGGGAATAAATAATTACTAAAAAATTTTTGTTTTATTAAGTTATCTCTATGCCCAACGTGGGGCTCAAACTCACGACCCCAAAATCAAGAGTTGCATGCTCGACCAATGGAGCCAGGCAGGTGCCCTGAGGAATGAATTATTAATCCATGCAAAAACATGAATGAATCTCAAAATAATTGAGTGAAAGAAGCCAATCAAAAAAAGAGATTTACATGAGAAGAATCTATATAAAACTCTAGGAGAAACAAAGAGAGCCTTGATAATCGATGGTACAGTAGTAAGTGGTCAAACATACATGTGTTTGGAGTCTGAAAAGAAGAGGAAAGAGAGAATGGAGCAGAAAAGATATTTAAAGAAATAATGGCCGAAAATTCCACATTTGATCAAAGACATGAACCACAGCTGTGGGACAAATACAAAAGCCCACAGCTGCATATATCACAAACTGCTAAAAACCAAAGATAAAGAGAAAATATTTAAACCAGACAGGAAAACATAGATCCCTACAAAGACACAAGATTTGAATGATTGCTAACTTTTCATCTGAAACAATGGAGGCCACAGAAAATGGAACGATCTCTTCAAAGTGCTTAAAGCATAAACTGTTCGCCTAGAATTCAAGAGCCAATGATATATCCTTCAAAAATGAAGGGAAAATAACGACTCTCCCGTTTTCTAGATGAAGAAAATAAGGCACAGAGAGGTTGGGCAATTCATCCAAGCCACAAAACCAGAAGGGGCCGAGCTGGGATTTGAACCTCAGGGTTGCCTGATCTTAATGCTGTAGGGTCCTATGATTTTTATTTCATCCTCAGATTGCCAAATGCTTAAGATTATCCCCATTTCCCAGATGGGCAAACTGAAGCTGAAATGGGAAAAGCAGCTTGCCTGAGGTACACAGTGTGTCAGCAGGAGGAGCAAGATGTGTTATTTCATTTATTCCTCATCAGTACACTCTGGTGCACCTTCAGGATATCTTGGGGAGTAAGAGTAGGTACGACCAGGGCGCCTGGGTGGTTCAGTCAGTTAAGCCTCTGACTCTTGCTTTTGGCTCAGGTCACAATCTCAGGGTCGAGGGATCAAGCCCTGCATCAGGCTCTGTGCTGAGCGTGGAGCCTGTTTGAGGTTCTCTCTCTCCCTCTCCCTCTGCCGCTTCCCCTGCTCACATGTGAGTACCCCACCTACCCCCCTCTCTTAAAAAAAAAAAGTGGGTACTACCAATAATTATTTTGGGACAAGAGACATAAACCAGGATGGATGGGGGGCCTATTTGACAGAGGCTTAGAGGGAAGAAGCATCTTGCCCGATGGTCCCCTCAAATTCACAGCTGAGCCGCGGAAGCACGACAGAGCACCCGGACTTCCCACCCGGGAACCTGAGGCGCCCCACCTGGTCGAACTTGCGCTGCTTCTTCTCCAGTGTGCTCACGAGCTGCCGCTGCTGCTCCAGGTCCATGATGGCATCGTCCAACTCCTGCCCCAGCTGCCGGCGGCCCCGCTCCAGCCGCTCCACCGCCTCGGTCTTTTCTGCCAGGCGCTGGGCCAGGGCCTCGGCCTCGCGGGCTGCCCGGCGCCGTGCCTCCTCCCCAGCTTCCAGTGCCCCCGCCTCCTCCTCCTGGCGCCTCCGCCACTCTGACAGCTGGGGGTGGGGGTGGGAGGAGAGGGTGGGTGGCAGTCATGGCTGCGACCAAGGCGTGAGCTGGTAGTGCCCCACTTCCCAGAGGAGGAGACTGAGGCTGGAGGAGGGAAGTGACTCGCTGCACTGGGTTTTTCTGCCTTGGAGCAGGGTTGAGGTTGTGAGTTGTGTGAACCTCAGCTTCTTCAGGAGATGAAAATTACTCCCACGGGGACCCAGAGGATGAATCAGACCTGGACTCCGCCCTGGGGAACCCCCCTTGATGGGGGGGAGACTGAGCATCATGCCCAGGGTGGTGGAGGCTAAGGTAGGAGAAGCATGGGAGCCGTGGGTGCCCACAGGAGGAATTTAGAATCTGTTTAGAATGTTCAAGAGAGACTTCCTGGAGGAGGGGGGCATTTGAGATGGATCCTGAAGTATGCATAGGAGTCTGCCAGTTGAAGAAGGATATTTACAGGCATGCATTCAGCACTCATTCATTCAACAAGCATTTCTCCAGGCCTCCTATACGTCAGGTTCCATGTTGGCCTGTGCTGAAGACCGAGATCTAACTCTGAGAGGGTCCTGCTTTCAAGGAGCTCCCATTCTGGTGGGGGGACCCATAGGCAGAGACAGTTCCAGCCAAAGGTGACTAGAATGGGGATGAGGAGAAAAAAGGGTGTGGGAGCTCAGAGTGGGGTAGTGAGGGACCTCCCACAACAGGAGAGGCTGATATTGAGTCCTGAAGAATGAAAAGGGTTTCTCGTGTGAAGTGGAGAAGGAGGTGAGAGATGAACACAGCTAAAGACACGGAAGGGCCAGCAAAGGCAGGGCCAAGAGACACACGCTCTATCCTGGGGGCACAGGGAGCCAGGGAGAGCTGTGAGCAGGGGAGGAGCAGGAGAGGAGCAGGGGCAGCTCTGTGGTAGAAAGACCGTGTGGAGGATGAGCTAGAAGGGGAGAAACTGGAGGCAGGGAGGTCTGAAGGGAGGCTGAGACAAGGATCCAGGCGACAGAGAATGAGGCCTGAGCAGGTCTAAGTCGGTGTAGATGCAGAGTAGGGGTGAAAGAGAGTCGGGGGAGGAGGAGTGGGCTCTGCACTGACAGGCTGAGGGAGAGTCACAGATGAGAATGGGGGTCTCCTGGGTGTCTGGCCTCGGACCAGATGGGCAATGGGGCCATCCCTGAGCTGGGGAACCCAGGAGGAGCGGGTTGGGACTGGAGGCCCCTCGAGGTCGCCCTCCAGGGCTGCTCACCTGGGCCTGGGCAGTCTGCAGCTCGCGGCCCGCCCGCTCCCTGGCAGCCCCCTCCTCCTCCAGCTGCTCCCGCAGCCCAGCCACCTCAGCCTCCAGGGCTCGCGCCCTGGACCCCAAGGCCAGCTTCGCCCTGCTCTCCTCCTGCAGCATCTCCTGCAGATGGTGGGGAAAACGGAAGTCAGGTGAGGGCAGAGGGTGGGGAGGCATGGGGAGTGGGGTGCAGCGGGGGCTGGCCTCACCTGGGCGTCGTGTAGCTGGGCCTCTGAGCTGCTCAGCTCCTTGCTCAGCCGGATGGCTCTGGACTCAGCCTCACTCAGGGCCCCAGACACGTTCTCCAGTTCAGCCTGCGGGGAAGGGGCACCTTCCAATGGTGGCTTCCACCCGGTTGACCCCAGCCGCTCCTCCCCCTCAAATCCCTGCTACACTGGGCTGGTGACGATGATGTCAAGTGGGGTAGCTGCTGGGGAAACCAGCCTGGTGGTTCCTCAAATAGTTAAACGCAGAGTTTCCATGTGGCCCTCACTCTCCAAGGGAAGGAAGCCTACTGGTTTCACACACCAATAGCGCTATTCCCAGTTTATATCAAGGGAAGCTGAGGCACAGAAAGGTTACAAAATTTGCCCAAGATGACAGAGGTACCAGAGGTAAGACCAAGCCAGGCAGACTGGCTCTACAGCTGTGTTGTCCAAAATGGTAGCCACCAGCCATACGTGGCTACTTAAATTTAAAAACTAAAATGAAAAAAAAAGTAAAAATCCACCTCCTCAGCTTTGCTCCCTACATTTTGAGTGTTCAGTGGCCAAGTGGATCGGATTGTGCAAATACAGAACATTTCTATCACTAAAGAAACTTCTAGTGCTGCCCGGAACTCTTGCTATCAGCCACCCAACTCTACTTCTGGTGTCACTCTTATGTGTGTGATATGTAAAACATTTAGTACAGTGACCTCTAGGTAGCATGATTCCATTTGGGGCTGTCCCCACAAATCCACTCTTCCCTGGTCCCACTATGACAGTCTATTCACTAGGCCTGTGGCTAGTGAAACTACATTTCCCAGCCTCCCTTGCAGCTAGCTGTGGTCACGTGATTATGTGATGGCCAATGGAATATAAGCAAAGGGATGTATGCAAATTTTGTCACTCCCTCTCTTTTTCTTCCTAAACAGAAGCACGGATGTGCCCATAATCCAGATTCGATTCTGAAGATGAGGGCGATGCTCTCAGGGACAGTGGCATGACAAGACCAAGGCACCCGGATCTTAAGTGACCTTGTGGAGCACAGTATCCTGCCGGCCTCCACTGCTTACCCTGAGTCTTTCTCGAGAGGGAAAGACACATGTCTTTCACTTAAGCTGATGGATTCTGGGGTGCCTTTGTTATATAGTAGTTTAGCTTTTACCCTAACTAATACAGCATTTTAATCTGGAAACTAATTGTAGTGGTGTTTTCCCCTGGAGGAATTGGACAACTAAAAATCATTCCTCCTGGGGCCCCTGGCTGACTTAGTCGGTTGAGCATTCGACTCGATCTCGGGTTTGTGAGTTCGAGCCCCGCGATGGGTGTAGAGATTACTTAAAAATAAATTATTTTTAAAAATTATTTTTTTAAAAGTCTTTTTTTCCTTCATTTTTTCTGCTTCTTTGTATTCTTAGTAATGCATAAGTATCAGCCATTTATAGAAACACAATAAAATTAAAACATAAAAGTCCACATTTCTTTTAACAGTCACAGTATGATATCATCCCCACACAGTTCCATGTGTCCAAACGGGGCTTTTCTCATCAGAATACAGATTATTGAAGGCTTCTCAGAGGGTCAGAGGTCATGGTAGGGTTAAGAGCTATAGGGTCAGGCATGCTTGGGTTCAATTTTTGGCTCTGAGGGATCTTAGACGATCAGCCTCACCTCCCTGGGCCTCGGTTTCCTCGGATGTAAAAGGGGAACAATATTAGGAGTCAGGAAGATTTAGTGAAATACATAGGATAGTTGATATAAAGTAATTGCTCACCGAATCCCAGCTACTCGTGCGTGATCATGCTGGAAGAGTTCGAAGGGACAACAGGGCTGCTGTGGACCAAACAGAAGCCCACAGAGGGTCCCTGCCCTGGCCGTCCCACTCACCTGGACTCGCTGAAGCTTCTCAGTAGCCTCCACTCGAGCCCGCTCCCCGTCACCAGCCCGGCCCTGCACCTCCTGCAGCTGGGACTCCAGGCGGCGTCTCCGCTGCTCGCCCTCATGACGTGAGGCCTGCAGGCTGCTCAGCTCCGACCGCAGCTCAGACACTTCCGTCTCCAGGGCCAACCGGGTCTTCTCCCAGGTACCTTTGCTCTGGCAAAGGGAGAGAGACAAGTAAAGATTTATGCTTCCTCCCTCAACCAGACCGGGCACCCTCCTGCCTCAGGGCCTTGGCACTGGCTATTCCCTCTGCCAGGCCTCCAGGGTTCCCCATTCCTGCCCCAACCCACCCTCCGGGCCTGTTCCAGCTGCTCTGCCAGCTCGCCCAGGGCCTGGCCGTGGCGCTGCCTCAGCTCCTGCACCGCCACTTCGTGAACACGTGTCTCCTCTTCCAGAGTCTTCTTCAACTCTGTCACCTCCTGTTCCCTCTTGGACCTTTTGTGGAGGGAACACGGTTTCAGAAGAGAGAAAGGCAGGGACTTTGGGGAAGTGCCTCCTTTTATTGTTTCCCTTCAAGGATGAGGACCTCACTCTACATTCCCTAAGGGATCTGGGTGGTAACCGAGGGAGGAGTGTGGCTTTAAGGGTGAGCTCCTACCCATCTTTCAAAACCCTATTCAAAAGGCCCTTTCTCAAGGACGTCTTCCTGGACTCCCTCCATAGACATGGTTTAGGGGCTCGCTCTTATCATCCACAATGCCCTGTGCTGCTCCCTTAGAGCACGCTTTATTCTGGATTGGGTCCCTTTGCCCGACTGCCTCCCCCAGACTGGGAGTCCCCGAGGGAAACGCCTGGGTCTGACTCATCTCTGTCCCCAGCCTGGCCGAGGTACAGAGCCAATACTCGATAAACAACTGGTGCACGGCTGAACCTCTGTGTCGATGGAGGGCTCACACCAAAGTCCCTCTCCTCTCCCTGCACCCTGCCCTGCCCGTGCCCAGGTGGTGCCAGCCGCCTCACCGGAGCTCCTGCTGTGCGTTGGTGGAGTCTAGCGTGTCCTCCAGCTCGCTCCGGAGTGCTTCCAGCTCCTCGCCCAGGTCCCTGCGCTGCTTCTCTGCCTTGGCCCTGGCCGCCCGCTCGGACTCCAGGTCCTCCTGGGCCTCAGCCAGTCCTGCTTGCGCCTCCCGCAGGGATTTCAGCAGCAGGGCCCGGGCACTGCCCTCCTCCTCCACCCTGGGGGTGGACAAGGACCACGGAGTGGGTACAGGGGCAGGCAAAGGGCAGGGATGATTTTTGGGGGCCGGGAGGCCAGGTGGATTTGGGGGTGGTCCATCCCAGGCTGAAATCCCAGCTCTGCCCTTGGGCGCATGCCTCAGTACTTGGAGCCTCAGTTTCCTTAGCTGTAAAATGGGGATGGCACCAAGAGTAATCACAGGGACACTTACTGAGCCCCTGCCACAGGGGACCCTTTACTTTATCATCTCACTTAATGATCACACCAAATGAGAAAACTGATGTACAGAGTGGGAAAGTCCTTGCCCAGGTCACAAGGTCAGCAAGTGGAAGAGCTGACCCCAGCATCTGATCAGCCTCATGACCCCGATGATACACAACCTCTAGCAAAGAGAAGCTGAATTGAGGGGCAGCAGTGGCTGGGAGTTAAATTGCTCATGGAGCCACGCAGACCGGGGTTTGGATCCCCTGCTCTCCAGACCGAGCAGGGAGCCCGCGGCGGGGCTCGATCCCAGGATCCTGGGATCATGACCTGAGCCGAAGGCAGACGCTTAACGGACTGAGCCACCCAGGCGTCCTTTAAAGAACACTTTAATACTTCATCCCCACACTACCCTTAGGAGTAGCTTCAAAAGCACCCCCCTTTCACAAATGAAGAAACAGGCTAGGGAGGTCGATGGCACGTGGGTGAGGTCAGGTGGCAGAAAAGGGGCGGGGCCAGGGCTTGAACCCAGAAGTCAGATGAGGGTGCAGGTTCTTAACCACACACACACCCCCACGTACCACTGATTATAAGACACACATTTTTCCACATTTTAACATCTAAGTTGAGCTGCACCTATAATCAAGGGCTCTTGTACGGGGAAAAGGCATTCGTAACACCGAGCGCACACAGTAGGTGCTCCATAATTGCGACTGGCTGTAATCATAATGATAGGATTCCTTTCATGGCCGGAGCGCTTATGAATCACAGCTGATCCCCTATTCCGACCGCGGAACTGGGCAAGTTACTAGACACGCGGGGCCTCGTTTCACTCCTCCCTTAACCCGGCGGGCTTGGAGCTCTCGCCGGGTCCAGATTACAGAAGGGGACACTGAGGCTCCGCGGGGCTGAGGCGCATGCGCGCTGGTGGAGTCTCCCCGCGGCGCCCCTCCCAGGCCACGCACCTGGCCAGGGCCGCCTGCAGCTCCTCCTCCTTGCGGCCCAGCTGGGCGCGCAGCTCCTCCCCGCGCTGCTGCTGCTCGGCCATCTGCTCCTGCAGCTCCGAGCTCTCCCCGTCCAGCCGCCGCTTCAGCTTCTCCAGCTCCTGGCGGCCCTTCTCCTCCTTCCGGAGGCGGTCTGGAGGCGGGAGTGGGGGCCATGCAGAAGGGCGCCAGACCCCACACCCAGCAGCTCGCCGACACCCGCGGCCGGCCCCCGGCACTGGCTGGGGTGGGGGTGGCGGTGAAGCTGTGGCTCAGCGTCTCCTTCTGTGCCCCCTCTTTCCAGCTTCCCCGACCCTGGGCCCGACCCCGGGCCCGACCCCCGGGTGCTGTCCTCTCCTCCTCACCCCCAAGTGACAGCCCTGCTCCTGCTCAGTGGCTGTCTCTGCCCTGTCCTCTCCTCTCCTGTCTCCACAGCCTTCTCCTGTGCTCTCTCCCTTCTGATTCTGAGTCAATAGCAAGGGACAGCGACAATGTGTCTGAAACAGTGGGACAGTCAGAGAGAGTGACCCAAGACATGGAGGAGAGAGCAAGAGAATTGCATTTAGAGTGACAGAAACAACCTAAGAGCTGGGAGGACACCCAGTCTGCCCTGAGCCTTCTTTCCTGCCCCCATTTAGCAGGTACGACCACTGAGGCTCCACAGCACTCGACGTTCACCCAACGTCCCCCCTCCCCCACCGCCGCCAAGCATGCGCAGTGCGGCGTCCCACTGGGGGCGGTGCTCACCCTCCATGTCCACAATCGTGGCCTCGTATTTGAGTCGAAGCTTATTGAGGCTCTTGACCTTCTCCTCCTCCTCGGCCGCCTGTGACGAGAACTCGGCCAGACGCTCCTCCAGCAGCTTCCGCTCCTGAGGGTGGTGGGAAGTGGGGGCGGTCAGAACAGCCCCCCCTCAACGCTCATCTCTGGTGCCTTCTCATCTGCATTTCTGCTCATCTCCACCCTTCCCTGAGCCTCCTGCTCCGGATCCCAACCTTCCTTCCCCATTCTCTTGGGTCTGCAGACCCGTCCCACCCTCACGGTGCACACGTCGTAACTACAGGCTAGACTCCCATTATTCGAAGAACCCCACCATTCACTAACACACCATCCCACTCATGGGCGCTGAGGTTCATTCCAAATCACGTGCGATTATAAACAACACTGCAGTGAACATCCTTGCCCATCCACTGCATTCAGGTGAGTTCTGGATCCATACCACCCAAAGAATGGGTTTGCGGACCAGCAGCAGCATCAAATGGGAGCTTTTTTAGAAATGCTGCATCTCAGTTTCCACCCCAGACCTGCTGAATCAGAACCTGCATTTTAACAAGCTCTCCGTATGGTTCCTGGGCACATTAGCATTTGAGAAGCACTGGCCTGGAGCAGTACTTTTCAAACTGTGAGTGGTTCTGGAAACCAATGTAGTGTGTTGGCACTACCCTTAAAAGGAAAGAAATAGAACAGCGTAGAATGGAATAGCCATTGTACCAGAAGGAACGTTCCAGAAAACTCCTGTGCATCCTTGACCTCTCAACTCAGGTATCATTGCCTCAGATAAGCCTTCCCTGACTACCCCGAGGACAGGTGAGGCACCCGTCACCCCCCATAGTCTTTTTTTTTTTTTAAGATTTTATTTATTTGACAGAGAGACACAGCGAGAGAGGGAACACAAGTAGGGGGAGTGGGAGAGGGAGAAGCAGGCTTCCCGCTGAGCAGGGAGCCCCATGTGGGGCTCAATCCCAGGATATTGGGATCATGACCCGAGCCGAAGGCCGCTTAACCGACTGAGCCACCCAGGCTCCCCGCTCCATAGTCTTCTATTCTTTTCTGACAGTTTAAAATTAAGTCACAATGTGTGGTTATGTTTATTTTCTGTGGTGTCTCATCTAGCATCCCTTTCCCCAGCCCCCTGTGAGGACATAAATGGCTTTCTAGGTTAGTTCAATGCCATATCCCCTGTGCCTAGCCCAGTCCTAGCTGTGGCAGGTAAAAGATGGTGGTGGGTTCTTTGCCATGTCCCCACCCACGGATGGAGCCTAATTTCCCACCGCCTGAATCTGGGCTGAGTCTATGACTGCTTTAAGCTCAGTGGTCTGCAAACCACAGTGTGCAGGCCAAATCTGGCCCACCATCTGTTTTTATAAATAAAGTTTTATTGGGACACAGTCACACGCATTCGATCATATACCATCTGTGGCTGCTTTCATGCTACATCGGCGGAACTGAGCGCTTGTGACGGAAGCACAGAGGCCTGCAAAGCGTGAAATATTTGCTATCTGATCTTTTACAAAAGATGTTTGCCAATCCCTGATCTATAGAATTGGGCACAAGTGATGCCATGTCAATTTCAGGCTTAATACTTTAAGGGGCCTGGATGCTTCCGCTTCCCCTTCTCAGAGCCCGGAGCTGCCACGTAAGAAACCCACGCTCTCCTGTGGGGACAGAAGCCACACGAAGGAGCACCGAGACGGCAGACATCCACACCCAGCCCCCACGCCACGGTGACTGCCTCCGAGAGCCACAGAGCAGCTGTGCGACGGAGCCCCAGCTGACCCACAGAAGGATGGGATATAATGAGATGGTGGTGGTCTCCAGCTGCGTGGCTTTGGGTGTCTTATGATCTACCAGCGATGGGTAATGACACACAGTAGTTGCTCAATAAATACCTGCTTGGGTGAAGGTGTGACAAAGGGAAAGTGAAGGGAAGAGCAAAGGTCGAAGGGAGACACAGCTGAGACTGAGAGCCCGAGACCCCTAGGGGGGGCGCTAGCTGGGGGAGACGCCGAGAGAGACTCACCCCCCACCCCATGCACCACAGCTCCCTGCCCCTGGGGGCCTACAGGCCACCGACCTTGCTCAGCTTGGCATTCTGATCTTCTAAGAGTAGCAGGTCTTCCTCAAATTTCTTCAGCCTTGCTTCTGTGGTCACCTTCTCCAGCTGCAGCTTCTGCCGCGCCCCCTCCTCGGCCTCGAGGTGGTTCTCCAGCTCCTGGAGAGGGGAGGGGCAAGGGATGAGGACCCAGGGGCCGGGGGCTGGCATGAGATGGGAAGGACAGGATGGAGGGGACGGTCCCGAACCCCGCGGGCTTGTGGCTCAGACAGGTCCCTGCTCTGGGCGAGGCTGGGAAGGAGCAAAACTTTACTGGCCTTCCCGTTTCATTCATTACCCCTGAGCCTTCCCTGAGGGCCCTGTGTATGCCTGTTCCAGGCACCAGAAATAGATACACATCTTTGTCCTTATGGAAATGACATTCTTGTGTGTACAGGAAGATTATAAACAAAAAATATAATAAATAAACACATCATACAGACAGGCACTGTCCACTGTGGTAACATGTGGTGTGCGACTGGAAATTAAGATTCGATATTGGGTGACAGCGTGGAAGGATGTCAATGGCATTGTGCTAGGTGAGGTAAGTCAGAGAAAGACAAATAGCCGATGATCTCACTTATGGGTGGAATCTAAAAAACAAAACCAAAACCAAAATGCTGAGCTCATAGGTACAGAGAAGAGATGAGCGGTTGCCGGGGGGTGAGGGACGGTCAGTGAAGTGGGTGAAGGGGGTCAAGAGATACACACTTCTAGTTACAAAACAAATAAATCCCGGAGAGGTAATGGACAGCATGACTGTAGTTCATAACACTGTACTGTATATTTGAGAGTTGCTGATAGAGTAGATCTTAAAAGTTCTCATCACTAGAATATTTGTTCTTGTTACTACGTAAGATTATGGATATTAACCGGACTTACTGTGGAGATCACTTCCTGATATATACAAATATTAAATCCCTATGCTATATACCTGAACTAATGCTATATGTCAATAGTACCTCAAAAAAAAATTTTTTTTAATTTTAAGTAGGCTTCACGGCATGGAACCCGACACAGGGCCCGAACTCACGATCCTAAGATCAAGACCTGAGCTGAGATCAAGAGTCAGATGCCCAACCAACTGAGCCACCCAGGTGCCCCAATAATACCTCAATTAAAAAAAAAAAAGGATTCAGCATTAGGTGCTGACTTGCTATCTGGTATTGGGAGGACCTATAATGGCCTACCCACATGTCCTCCTCCTACCTGCTCTGCTCCCACAGATAAGGTCCGCTGGTCACGTTAACACTACACATCACGGGGACCAGGCACAGGGCCAGCTTCTGCCTACATAGTGGACTTCAGTTGCCTGCCAGCCCTGAAATTATTCAAACTCACTGATCACATCTCCCTGTAGGAACCAGGGGTCACCCCATACTTTTGTTACTACAAAGCCTGCCTCCCACAGCTGTGGCCTGTTCATTTTATTCCTGAGTGCAACCCCTGTGTGGCTCTCTGTGGTATGGTGTCAGGCCATCCCCGTAACTCTAGGGGAGGATCCCTCCCCCACCTACAGGACGAAGAGGAGGTGATTAAAACACTTACTGAGCTCCTGAAATGTGGTCAGTATGGCTGAGGAACTGAATTTTCAAACTTATTTAATTTTATTTATTTTAAATGTAAGACCAGACGCTCACTTAATCACTGGAAATTTTTAAAGTATGTTTGGCATAACTTGGGTACCTCAATCTACTTTTTTCAAGTGAAGAAGTCGTAACACATAAATGCAGATGAATACTGCCAATGAAAACTTAGCATCTGAATGAAGATGTAAAGCACACAGTGGATTTTGAAGGGGAACCATGGGAGGGTGGCCTGCCTGGGAATACAGCAGCCTAGAGGCAAATGGAGCCAAGAGATGGAGAGAGAAAGAGCACAGAGGGTATCACCTCAGCACCTGGATCCAGCCATGCCTGAAGCAGAATGCATAAGCATTCTGCAGTCTCCCATTATTTGAACCAAAGAAGTATTCTTTTGGCTTATGCCACTTTGAGTTGAGTTTTCTGCAAATTCATGGCCCAGTGAGACATGGTTTGGAGAAGCAAAGGTTGTCTGGGTAGATGGAAGGGCATGGGGCGAGGTGGCCTGTGGGCACACAGGGGCCCGACCTGTATATGCTGCTGCAGCCTCTTCTTGTCACTCTGCAGCTGGCGGCTGCACTCCTCCTCCTCGCCCACGCGGGCCTCCAGCTCCGTCACCACCAGCTCCAGCTCCTGCTTGCGAGCTGCCAGCCGGCCCCGCGTCTCTTCGGCCTCCGCACACAGCTCTGCCTCTGCTCGGAGTTGCTCCGCCAGGCGGGTGCGCTCCTCTTCCAGCTGGGGACAGGGTGGGAGGTCAGCACTCAGCAGGCAGTGCTCCCAGGGCAGTCTCAGTGGAGCACTCGGTCGCTCCTGCCTCCTGATTTGCTTTGCCCTTTGGGGCCTGGAGGGCTTTCCTCCAGGTCCCCATCTTGGGATGATCTCAACCCCCCCCCGCCCAGTCACCAAGTCAGACCCCTGGGTGCCACCCTCTCTCCCACCTCCCTTCACCTCCC